ATTTAACAGTGGTCTGTCCTTAACTGGTTTGGCCTCAGATACTGCGTTTGAGGTACTGTACGTTTTTTGTTTGTTTGCTTGTTTTTCTTTTCTTAAACTGAACTATTCTTTCCCTAAAATGTTATGGGATATTATCCCAAGAAGTATTTCGTTTGTTGCAAATCTAGATGTTTTCCTTTCTGCAGTCTCCCGAGGATACCTCTGTGTTTTTCTTTGTCTTGAAACTCTTCTGCCCCGCTTTGTCTCTGAGTATCTGTGAAAGCAGTGGTTTGAAAGAACCTCAACCATCGGTAAAGTTCACACAGATTCAACCTAATAAAAGGTTCAGTAAGTGACGCTCTGAGATGAAACCACTGCGGGGAGCAGAGCAGCAGGGTGAGCCGTGGGCCCGTGGATCGAGTCAGGACGCCTGACTTCTGGGCCATGATTGTTTGTGACCTTCACCCAGCTCACTGTTTCCCGGGTGCTGCTTCCTCACCTCCACGTGGAGAAGTTGCACTAGGCAGGCTCTTCGTTTTGAAGATCTTGACTATGTTTTAAGCCTTGTTGTTTTTCAAATAATTTGGGGTTCACCTCCTTTCACTCCACCAAGAAAATATTTTGCATATTTGATGCATCCATGACCTTGCTTTGGTCTTCTGTTTTTCGTTTAGCATTTGTCTATTTAACGTAAATAATACACACAGGAAACCTTCAAACAGCACAGAAGGGGAGAAGGAAGACCTCTTCCCACCCCAACACCCTGTTTCCTCTCCAGAGGCACCTACTGTTGTGTATTTTGCTTGAGAAATTTACCGTTTTATGTATAATATGCACCCCACCCCACCCCTATTTTTCTAAGTACAACGACTATGCTCTTATATACATCCTGTTCCTTGGATTTTTTTTTTTCCCCCTTCTGAAAGTTGCTTCTTAGAGATTGTTCCATAGAAGTAACTGCAGAGTTTCTTTATTCTTTGGAATAGTTGCACAGCATTCCTCTGAATGAATCGTGCTCTCTCATTGGTGGACACTGTTTTCAGTCTTATGCTGCTATGGACAGTATCAGGATGAATTTCCTCATACAGACTTCTCTGTCGGTGGGCCTGATTTATTTTGAAGACAAACCATTGGCTAAGGTCTATTTTCTTCCAGTCTTTGCAGAGTTAATAACTGGAGATGTTTAGTCTACATGGTCAGATCTAAGTTAGATGGAAGAAAGAAGCTTGTCCACCATGCCTCCCTCTGGATCGTCCCTGTAAGGGCTGGTGTTTTAAAGGCTAGCAAAGGTGTGGTTTTCTAGAAGCGATCTCCACCCAGCCTTAAACTCCCCCTAGATAAGGATGCAGACATCAGTAAAACCTGGCTCCCAGGGTCTGGACAATGTGTGGAGTGGAGTAACAGTCCAGTGGGTAAGACTCAGCACTTCCACTGCAGGGAGCAAGGGTTCAATCCCTAGTCAGGGAACTAAGATCCTGCATGCCACATGGAGTGGCCAAAAAAAAAAAACCTCTGAAGTACTAACAAAAATTTAACATTTTCAAGCCTCCTTTTCCTAACCTGGGGATTTGTGATGTTGGAAATATTCAATTTACACCTTCCTCTTATAGACACAATTGGGCTTCTTTTTCTTGTGGTAGTTACCTCAGAAAAATAGAAGCATCCTTTTGCAGAAGGTTCAGAAACAGCTGTCTGGAGATACTCACTATGTCTCTATCTAAGCTTCCTTCTTCTGGCCTGAAAGAGGTCTTATGAATTAAACCCTTCTGAATATCTGGACTTTGTCTTACTTGAAAATCTTTATTTTAAGAGAATTTTTCCCTATGACACAGTATGTGCCCAATCCCTGACCCTCCCACCCAGGCCTTCAAATAGAGATTGTAATTATTCTCCAAGCTGTAGAAATGAACTACTTATTTCAGTTATTTTGGCATCAGTCACAACGATGCTTTTTTCCTTTTCTTGGACTAAGAACATAAGGAATGCCCAGCTGGTTTCATTCATTCATCCCATCATTTACCGAGTTTCCTTCTGTGCCAGGAGGTAAGAGTTCTTGGCGGTGGAGTTGATTCAGGAAGTGAACCCCAAACTGTTGTTGCAGAATACTCCAGTATCCTACCTTGTCTTGAGCGACTTCTCTGTGATTGAGCAGAGTTGTCAGCCTGTGTAAACCCTCCTTCAGCGCTTCCTACTTGTAACCTGAGCAGCCTTTGGGCCCAGGAGCCTGTTTGGAGGGCCTGCTGTTTAAGTGGCCTCTCACTGTGGTCCATTGAAGGTAAATTGTGTGTAGAGGGGTTGCCCCGGTTTTGGTGATTGTTCCTGGACTTTGGTCTCAGGTGTGACAGGGGGTGGCGAAGGACTGTTGAAAGGGCAGGTGGACAGGGTGTCCGGAGTTCAACTTTGGCTCCAGCTGTACCTGTTTCTAAGCAGAGCACACCCCTTGCCTCCCTAGCTTTCACAAAATAAAAAGCTGAACTAGGTGTTCGCCAGGAATCTTTACAAAGCCTAACATTCTAGTGTTTCCCTGGTGGCTTAGATGCTTAAAAATCTACCTGCAATTTCGGAGACCCGAGTTCGATCCCCGGGTTGGGGAGACCCCCTGGAGAAGGGAACGGCTACCCACTCCAGTATTCTGGCCTGGAGAATTCCACGCGCAGAGGCGCCTGGCTGGCTCCAGTCCCTGGGGTCGCCAAGAGCCAGACACAACTGAGGAACTTTCACTTTCACTTTCACAGACAAGCATAAAACCCCATCTCATTTCTTCACACGTTCCTTGCAGTAGCCTGTTAGATCCTGTGAGGGCAAGAGCTGTTTGTCCAGCTCCAAACCCAGCATGCAGCACACGGTGGGAATGCAAGAAAGATTTGAGTGCGTTAGAGGTAAATTTCAAAAAGCAGTATTTTTATCCCACTGCTACTTCTATCCAGAGGAACCGCCTGTCAAGGAGCTAATTCTTCCTTAAGGAAGCCAGTTCTACAGAAAATCTTACGTGTTGGTGCTTTGTTTTCTTCTCCTTTCTTTTTAAACATCTTATTGAAGTGGAGTTGATTTACAGTGTGATATTAGTTTCAGTGCACAGCATCGTGATTCAGCGATGCATGTACATGTATTCATTCTTTTTTAGATTCTTTTCCCATATAGGTCATTATGAAGTACTGGGTGGAGTTCCCCGTGCTACGCAGGAGGCCCTTGTGGATTATCTGTTTTATATAACGTGTGTATGTTAATCCCAAACTCCTAATCCATCCGTCCCCGTTGTGTTCTCTTTGGTAACCGTGAGTTTGTTCTCTAGTTCTGTGACTCTCTCTGTTTTGTAAATGTATTTTGTCCTTTTTTTATGGCTGAGTGATACTCCGCTGTGTATATGGACCACGTCTTGTTTATCCCTTCCTCTGCTGATGGACATTCAGGTTGCTTCTGTGTCTTGGCTGTTGTGAATAGTGCTGTCATGAACACTGGGCTGCACGTATCTTTTCTAGTCAGGTTTTCTCCAGCTATGTGCCCAGGAGTGGGACTGTTGGGTGATATGGTAGTTGTGTTTTGAGTTTCTAAGTAACTTCCATGCTCTTCTGCATGGTGGTTGTACTAGTTTATATTCCCACCAACAGTGTGGGCGGGTTCCCTGGTACTTTTTTTCCAGTGTGTATATGTGTGTGTGTGTGTGTGTTTTCTACACATTCATTTAATACATAATTGATTAGGCTACTTTAAAATTCACCTAAGAAAGTTTGCTTATCATGTGTTTCCATGTAATGTCTATATCAAACTGAAGGTCTGAAATATTTCACTCTGAACTTTAAGTAAAATATGCCAATAATTTTGTCTTTAACGGTAATGATATCGAATATAGCACAAATTACATTTTTTTGTTCTTTTTCCTCAGAAATGAAGTAAGTATATAAAGTTACACATTGTTGCCTTTGGCCCTGACTTAGGAGCAAATAGACTGGAAAACATGTTTTTCTTTATTACAGGATATTACCCAGTAGAAGTTAAGCAAATTGATACGTAAACTGTCTTGAGAAAAACTAGCACTTTTTAAGATGCATTTTTTTGTGGGGGACAGGACACTAATTATATAATTTATTAAACTATTCAAAAATGTTTTGTAACGTGAAGTACTGTGTGCTAAAATTTTAAATATTGGTAAATACAGACAAATAGAAAATCTTTAAAAAGTTGAAAACACTTCTATGCCTTTATCCAGTCACAGACACTGTTAGCATCTTTTATATAATTTCTTTCTCACTAATAATTCCCACTAAATGTTCTCTAATCATTCACTAATAATTTCTCACTAATAATGTCTTTGGGGCATCCTCTTTTAACAAAAAGCATGAATGGGGTCCTGCTTTTGTGTAGACCCCTGATCTAGGTGCTGTGTCTTTTGTTTTTGTTTTATGTTTTTTTTCATTTATTTTTATTAGTTGGAGGCTAATTACTTTACAGTATTGTAGTGGGTCTTGTCATACATTGACATGAATCAGCCATGGAGTTACATGTGTTCCCCATCCCGCTCCCCCCCCACCTCCCTCTCCACCCGATTTGTTACCTGTCAATTTGCTCACCTGTCCTAAATATTATTTTACACCCACCACTGTCAATGATCACATGCCCTCCTTAGCTCTGCCATGAACATTCAGGTTGTCTGAGGACAGGCACACACACCCAGATGTCCTGGTGAAATTAGCTTTCATGCTGTGGTAACCTTTGTGGAATTTGCTTATGACCACTATGTTCTATTTAAGGATTGACATGTACCCAGACACAGGCAAGGTGTGAAATCAGACTTTTAACGGGGCGCAAGAGCTAAGACAAGGTGAGTCAGGAGAGGGGCCAGTACCTGAGTCTCTGTGAATTGAGTTAAGGTAATGGTCACTGAAGCAGCAATGATAAGCAGCAAAGTGCTTTGGAAGGAACCTCCGGAGTCTATACGCCGGAGTACACAGCGTTCTGACGGCCTCTTTCTGACAAGGTGCTGTGCCTCTGGTCACTCATCCCCCTGTTCTTCCCTCCCGTAGTGATGAATCACCAGCAGCAGCAGCAGATGGCACCCAGTCCCCTGAGCCAGCAGAACCACGCCCCTCAGAACCCGTCTGCGGGGCTCATGAGCATGCCCAACGCGCTGACCAGCCAGCAGCAGCAGCAGCAGAAGCTTCGGCTTCAGAGGATCCAGATGGAGAGAGAGAGGATTAGGATGCGCCAGGAGGAGCTCATGAGGCAGGTACGGCCTTCGGTGGTACCTGGGGGAGGCTTCGTGGCCAAGGCTACTAGGTCAGTAGCCACTTGCCATCAGAGTAAAATAAATCTTTCTCCAGAAGCACTAAAGGCCCCAGACCCTGCTCCAAACTTCCATTCTCTACTTGCACTATCTTGAGAGCCAGATCTGTGACCACACAGACGAGCTGTATTAGCATGGCTACCTTTGGCTTTCACGACTCGTCATTAGAAGGAGAGAAAGAGTATGTACCAATCACTTTTTATCACAAAACTTCGTGGCTTGAAAGAATAACCATTTTATTTATTTATTTTTTAAAACTTTTTATTGTATATTGGCCTATAGCTGATCAACAATGTTGTGATAGTTTCAGATGGACAGCAAAGGGACTCAGCCATACGTACACATATATCTATTCACCCCTCAACTCCCCCTCATCCGGGCTGCCACATAACATTGAGAATAGTTCCCTGCGCTGTACAGTAGGTCTTTGTTGGTTATCTACTTTAAATATGGCAGGGGGTACATGTCTGTCCCAAGCTCCCTAGCCATTCCTTCTTCCCGTCTTCCCCCCTTCCCACCAAATAGCCTTTTTATTATATCACACAACTGTGTGGTCAGGAATTGAGGCAGGGCTCAGCTGGATGCTCTTCTTCTACACACAGTGGAGGCTCGAGTCACTCAGTGCTGTTCAGCTGGTGGATGGGTTGACTTGGGGGGTCCAAGGCGGGTCTCCTTAAGTGTGTGGCCTCCTGGTGAGGGTTGCTGAAAGACTGGGCTTAGCTGGGACTAAAACTTGAAGCATCTGCCCATGGCATCTCTAGCCTGGCAGTCCTAGAGCACTGGAACTATTCTATTTGGAATAGCAGCTTGGATCTCCCTGAGAGAATGTTCTAAGAGACAGGAATTGAAAGCTGCCATGTATCAGGGCTTGGCTCTAGAAACTGCCACAGAGTCACATCTTCCATATTCTCTTGATCAAAGCAGTCACTGTGTGCACCTTCCTCCTGCAAACCTCCTCTCACCCTCCTTCACACCCCAAAGTAGAGCCGATAGCAGAGAGTGTTCCACGCAGGAAATGACAGTGAACCTGCAGCCGTCTTTGGTCTGCCGTGAAGCATGAGAAAAAGAGAAAATGGAGGAGGCTTGAGACAGCAAAGTGTTTTGCCTATGGACTCAGAGAGGGGTCTGCAAAACTGCCTGGGCTTTGAACAGACACGGCTGTGCTGTCCTCCACTCATCCATGTGTTCATGCAGTCAGTCCAAAGAAGACGTATCCTCGGTAAGGCAGGCTCACTGCTTCCCTTCAAAACATAAATAAAAGTCCCTGAAGGAGGCCACAGTCTTCTCCCTGCTGAAATGGCTTGGTCTTTGCAAGAGCAGAATTCTTTTCTGTGCTGCTCAACTAATGTAGCACATGTTTTCAGGCCTCATAAATTTTGCTGGCTGCGTTTTGGGGAGGAAGGCTTCAGTTTATTGTTCTAATTCTTCAGACTGCCTTATGACTCACATGAAGCAAGGTACATGGGTAGCTTCCTTTCCATGTTTAAGGAAATGAGTAGTTTTAACTGTTCCAGAAAGCTTTCTTGCAGGGGACTTGGAATATTAAACACTATTTTTTCCCTTTGGCAGTATTATATCTGATACTTTCAGAAATATACACTTACTGCCATAGGTAAATAATGAATTTCTCATCAAATAAACTCTAAAATACAAAGTATCTGTGCTGTGTGATACTTTATACTGTGTGAGGTGGCTTCCCTGGTGGCTCAGATGGTAAAGAATCTGCCTGCAATGCAGGAGACCTGGGTTCAAACCCTGTGTCGGAAAGATCCCTTGGAGAAGGGAATGACTACCCGCTCCAGTATTCTTGCCTGCAGAATTCCATGGACAGAGAAGCCTGGGAGGCTACAGTCCATGGGGTCGCAAAGAGTCAGACACGACTGAGTGACTGACAATTACACTGTGTGAAGTTTAAAAACCATGATGAATTCAAAGAATTCCTTAGACAATCTTTGAAAATGCGAGAAGTGAATATAAATTGTGCTTTGTTGTTCTGTTGAACTGTCCTCTAAATTTGAGGAATACAACTTTGTAATATGACCATTATTATGCTTTTTTACCCTGAGGATTTATGTCTGAACTTTCATAGCTATTTCAGGGTAACAGTTGTTTATACTGTTTTTAGATATACACTATCATGTTTCTTAGCAGGAAATGATTGTATTATGGTTTTCTGTCTTTGGATAATGATTCTACTTGGAATAATGTATCTATTTTATAATATAGAGTAAATTAAATAGCAGTAGAGTAGCCTTTATGCATTTTAATGATTTTTCCCCCCACAAAGCTATGACTCTCCTGCAAAGAATGACTTGCTTCTCAGTTTCTGCCTTGTTCTATTTCTCTTTCTCTTACCCCACCTCCTCCTTTCCCACAGAAAGTATTTCTGAGAAGGGGTGGAGAAAAGTGCCCCAGATTGTTCCCTTTATGCCAACCATAGGTGCCCTTGAAGCAGAATGTTAGTATTGATGGTTCGTATTACAGAAATACCAACAAGTTCCTTAAATGCTGGTCCCTAGAGGCTGTGGAACTCAAGGGCATTTTGCTTCATCACAGTGTCACTTCCCCCGTACAAGACCACGGGGAGAAATACTGCCCAGATTTGCTCACAGAGGTTCACACAGTTAGCTTTGGACGTGCAGGCGCACGCATACAGAGGAGGAGAAGATGGCAAGGGTGGTTCTGATGCCTTCTTATCTTTATTATGGAATACAGGAGGAAAGGTCTAAATCGACTTTTTTAAGTCGTGGAAGAAGTTTTCCTCCATCCAGAATTAGCTTGCTTCTTAGGGTCAAAGATATTATTTAAGACCATACAATAAATGGTGTTAGAGTGATGACAGTTTTCTGGGGCGTTTGCCAAGACGTCTGATTGTTCTGGTGTGGATTATATGTATCACCTTGGTGTGTAGTTTTTTTTCTTTTTAACTTCTTTCTTTTGTCGCTGTGCTCTTAAGCATCACTATTTGCACTTAATGGACTGGAAGTAAAAGTGATGCTTGGCCCACCTGTTTAGCTGCCTTCTAGCATCTGGGAGGAAGGTAGAGGCACTTTGGCCCTGAAGATTGTCACTTCCGTTTGTTCTTTCTGTCCCACTCCCTGTTCTTCATAGTCGACAACTGCCTGGATATCTTTGCTCCCTGGGCACTTAGCAACTCCCCTGCATGGTAAGTTGCTTCAGCCGTGTCCGACTCTGTGAGACCCCGTGGACTGCGGCCCGCCAGCCTCCTCTGTCCATGCGATTCTCCAGCAAGAATACTGGAGTGGGTTGCCATTTCCTTCTCCAGGGGAGCTTCCCGACCCAGACATCCAGCCCACATCCCTTAGGTCTCCTGCGCTGGCAGACAGGTCCTTCGCCGTTTGTGCAAGCTGGTAACCCGCCTGGTCCCCCTGTGGTTTGCAGGAGGGCCCTCGCTGTCTAGCCTGTCCTCTCAGAGGCCCTGCCCAGCAAGCAGGCCTTGGCCTTCTTCTCGCAGGAAAATTTCTGGGAGAGAAGTCCCTTCCTGTCCTTCATCTCTATGGGAGGAAAGGAGGTTGGCACATTTTAATAAGTAGGATGAATTTATGCCCTAATTCTTGGGAAATTATCACTACTCTGTATTTTTTTTTTTTTGGAACTATTTGTTTACTTTCGGCTCCTTCGGGCCTTCGTTGCAGCACACAGAATCTTTCGCTGTGGTGCACAGCCTCACTGGCTTCTCGGCATGTGAGATCTTAGTTCCCTGACCAGGGATCGAACCTACGCCACCTGCATTTCAAGTGCAGAGTCTTAACCACTGTACCGCCAGGGAAGTCCCCTGGAAGCTCCTTATATGCTATATAACTATTGTTTTATGTTTCCTTCTTCTTCTTTCTGCTTCCATGCCATTGTTCCTCTAGGCATGTAGTCTGCGGAGAAAACAATTCCTTGGTCCTTCTTCCACAATCTGACGTATACCTTCTGCTGCCAAGGACTCAGACATGAACTTATCACTGAAATCATGTGGAATATATTAACACAATGAATCTAAGGAAAGTCTGATTACAGATCTGAAATGAACCTCCATTATTTCAGGATGGGGAATTATTTTCTGATTCCTTTTTTATCTCGTCTGTTTATTCACTCAACATTTGCATAGTGCAAAATAATAAAAAGATAAATGAGACATGGCTGCCTTCAGATAACTTACATTTTATCACAGGAGACAAAATGATTAAATTAATCCGAATTGGTGGCCAGAAGGATAAATTCAAACTCTTCCCTACTTTGTGGGGTTCCAGTGTCTGCTCATGACTGGAGCGGAGACTAGATCATCTGAGCCCAGAGCTCTGGGAAAGGAGCATAACGTACTTTTTGCCTTTCTTTTCAGCCCCCACAGGCCAGCAAGTTGTTGAATAACTACAGAATTAGGATCAAAGAGCTGGTGAGGTTTGGTATCTCCCCTGATTAGAAATCTTTTTAAATAGGAGAGTTTTGTTCAAAATGGTTCCTACACATTAACGTCGGCTGCTGTAGCAACACAGTTGAACTGCTTGTATCTGATAACTGATGAATTATCTCGAAACACGGCAGGTGCTCCCAGGGCAGGGGTGCCAGCGGGCTCAAAGGGATCCTAGCCAGGTCTGCAGAACGTGGCCTTATTAGGAAACTTTCTCTTTCAGTGTCTCTCACAGACCTTATAGAGAATGACTTTTCATGAAAGACATTCTCCATTGTCCGTGATAATAAGAGTTTTTTTTTTTTGCTGGTGAGGCAGTTTCAGGTTCATCAAAGTAATAGCAACCCTGGAAAAGAAAGCAATTCTCAGGAATTCCCTGGTGGTCCAGTGGTTAGGATTCTGAGTTCTCATTGCTGAGGTCCCAGCTTCAATCCTCGGTCTGGGAACTGAGATCCCACAAGCCACATGACCAAAAACAAAACAAAAAGATCTTGGTTAGACGATGTACTTCTTGCTATCTTCTCAT